ATATATATATATATATATATATATATATATATTCTGGTGAGTCATAAAATGAAACTTTGTCTTCTTTCCCCCTTGTAGAGAATATCAGTACAGTGGCCACAATGCTGGAACACCTTCAGGTTCCTCCCCTACACCGCATTATACGTTGCTCCATTGGGAGCCATCCAGAGTTCACTGTGGCAATCCTCCTGGCTGCTGCTGCTGAACTGCCTGACAGCTAGATTTGTGTCAAGGGTGTCTTAGAAGCATATATCAGGCTAGTAGGCCATTTCCTCAGAGCAACAGAAGATTAATGAGTCAGGCTTCACCAACTGGCTGTTTTTTTTTTGTTTTTTTATTTGTTGCAGATATCATATCATGACAGAAGCCTTTCTGTACCTGGGATCTGGGACCCCAGATGCGGTCGAGTGCTCAATAGTTACCCAGACTTAGACGTTGTAAGAGGCTGTATTATATAATATATAAAGCTATCTATGTATTAAATGTAGAGAAAATGTGCCATATCGTGATGTGTATCATTTTTATGGATATGAAATTACCATTCATAGGGGGCGACAGTAGCTCAGTGTGTAGGGATTTGGCTTGGGAACCAGAGGGTCGCCGATACAAATCCCACAGACCACAATATGGAGTGTGGACTGGTAGCTGGAGAGGTGCCAGTTTCACCTTCTTTGCACTGCCGAGGCAACCTAACCCCAAGAAACTGCTCACGATCTGCTAACGTGGCGAGCCCATCACTCCACCATCTCTCTGCCTGCTGCATGTCCACAAGTGTGTATTTCAGCCTGTGTGTGTGTGTAAGAATAAAAAATAGTGAAAAGAAGACCCCCAACAGGGCGATTAATAAAATATATATCTTCTATCTTCTATCTTCTGTTATGGAATAACTTAATTTTATCATATATTATTTAATATGTGCCAATTAGTGATCGACAGATATGGGTTTTCTCAATGGCCAATGCTGATGCTGATATTGAGGGAGCAGGGCTGCCAATGGACAATATATAATTCAATATCAACACAATCAATACCGATTATCTAGGGCAAATATGAAAACAAATGCAGGAGAAAAAAAAGTGGTAATATATTGGTGTCACTGCAAAGTTTATCCAGTGGGCTGTGATTTGCAATACTGTGGCAGGCAGCACTGAGTAAGAAGAGACAAGAAGCTGCTCTCAGCAACATCAACTAAAATTAGTTGAAAATGTATATGTTAAAATATTGAACTATATTATTATATTATATTGATGTTAAAGAATATTCAGCTGAATATTCTTTAACAAAGTTGTCTGTTTAAGAAAGCAGCCTTCTGAATACCTTGCAGAGGGACACAGAAAAGTTCTATTTTCATTCCAGTTCAAAAATTACTCGGTTTTCATCTAACATAACATAGAATGATGAGCTGATATTATTTTCTTTTAGTGTTTTGTTGAGAATAGGAAATTGTGGAATAACATACTTCTCTCTCTCCACTGGCTTCTCTTTGTGTTTACTTTGTGAGAAACATGATGTTTTTAATGGGAGTAGAAGTGCTGGCTCAATGCCAGACCTACTGGTAATTAATCAATCAAACAGATCAATCCACATCTGTCATGAGTTCAGTTATTTATGTAAAGACAGTTTCATTATTCAGAGAAATGAATAACATGTTAAAGGACCAGTGTATAGGATTTAGTTGCAGACTGAAACCCCCTTGCTTCACTCTCCCCTTTCAAGCTCGAAGGAGAAACTATCGGTGGCTTATAAATGTCCAAAAACTCAACCATCCCTATCTAGAGCCAGTGTTTGGTTTATCCCCTCTGGGCTACTGTAGAAACATGGTGGTTCAACATGATGGACATAGAAAGCGGCCCATGGCGTCTAGATTTAAAATGGTGATTCTAAGGTAACAAAAACATAAACATTATTATATTCAGGTGATTATACACTAATGAAAACATAGTTATGCATATTATATTCCATTTCTGACAATATATCTCCTAAATGTTACACACTGGACCTTTAAAATTAGCTGATTACACATACAAGCACAGTTGTGGTCTATATGGAAGCCCATTTCTTCCAATGTGATAAAAAAAAAAAAAAAGGATTCTGTTAGTCATTATAATGAGAAATAATGATTTAGTATCTCAACAAAATGACTTAGTTTCTCAAAATAATGACTTAGTATGGCCAAAAACTCACTCAGTGTCTCAATATGATGAGACACTTTCTCAATATTTTGACAGTATCTCAAAATAATGATTTAATACAGTTTACACATCAAATGGGGATCCTACAGCATATTAGCCTTTAGTGACTCCACAGGGAGCTGTGTGAAGTTAATGTCTTCAAGTGATGTTATTTGAGTCAGTATCAGTTGGGACTGAAGACTACAATTTTGAAAATAATAAAAATCGGTTGGTGTGGAATGAGAAAGAAGTGACCTTCCTCTGTAGCTGATCATCTCCGCTGCAGACTAGAGACTCCAGGCTATGTTAGCTGCTGCTAGCATACCTCAACCCAATCTGCCACCCAACTGTCAGTGGTCAAGTTGCATTGTAATGTACGTTTTGACAAGGAAGAAGAATGTTTTGGATAAAAAAGAAGATATGTCTTGTTCTGCTACATCAAATAAAATTAAAAACTGTCCATTAGGAATCAAAAAATGTCGAGAAGTATGATGCTAAATCAATTCAGTATTCTTTTAAAAGAATTAATTTTTCAAAATACCCAAATTTAAAAAACTAAAAAATCGCCAAATACCAAGAAGAAAGGCATGATAAAACACAAATAATGATGTAATCTAAAACAGAATTGTAAAAGGACTACCTTTGGAAAAGTCAGATTACTCACACATATGAATATGTTGACACACAGGTATAATGAGGAGCAGGGGTTTGGGAAAACATTGTTTATACATGTGGACAACTGGCAAAAATTGTATTTTGTTGTATTTTGCCAGAGGCGTGTTACATTCCTTTACAGCAAATCCAGACGTGTCCTTTCCCAAACTGTTACACAACCAGATGACAAGCCATTTAAACAGGAGACCATGGCTTTTGATCATTCTCAGCACTTCTATTCAGACATGAAACTAGAAAGAAAAAAAAGACGAAGGCCAGGACCTGTTCTTATCACCACAAAATGAACACTGACCTTTTAGCAGCAGAAGTCATGTTATTAGCATCTAAAGATGTAAATATTCAGATAAAAGAACCTGAGAAGAATAGTCTGTTGTGCCAAGTTGAATTGAGACAAAGACGAATAATTCAGCGGGCTGAATGGAAAAAAGCCTCCATTCTGAAGAAGACACCGTGGGCCTGGCAGCTCAATGGACAATAGCAGAGAAAGAGGGAGCTGTGATGAGAAAACCGCCTCTGGATTGTCCAGGCTAAGTAATCTACTGACTCCCACTGCGATTGACAGCATTCGGTTAAAACCCCAAGCCAAACATGGAAACAAGATGAAGGCACATTCTTGCATAGTGTTTCACTGACAGCTGATTAATTCTGTTACAAGGGTTTTTCGCCCCATTGGGATCAGGGCCTAAGGAAGACAATGTCAGCTGGTCGATGGTTCAGTCAGTCTTTCAGATTACCAGCCAGACTGACCTGAAATTTAGAACAGATATTCATACCGCCGCAGCAGCCCCGACTATCTATTATGGACATTATATGGTGAAGCCTGCAGTCTATGCTGCTCTCCTGACAGGTCACATGCAGTCATAAACCTAGACTGGTCTTTATTGGTTCTTATCAGCAGGTCAGGCAGACTGTCGTATTGCTGTCAAGTGAACATTTTGTCCTCAAGTTGATGTGTAAGAAGCAGGAAAAGTGGTGATAGGCAGCCAAGGCTAATTATTACATGTGGGAAGCGAAGGCTGGCCTGTGTGGTCCGATCCAACAGGTGAGCTACTGTTGCTCAAACTGCTCAAAAAGTTAATGCTGGTTCTGATAGAAAGGTGCATCGCAGCGTGTTGCATATGGGGCTGCATAACAGGGATGCCCATAATGGTCATAATGTTATGGCTGATAGGTGTTTACCAGTTGCTATGTATTATCATCTTCTTGTGTCCTGTCTTCTTGTCATTATATGTTTTTCACTCATTTTTATATAGAAGTGGTTCCTAACCATTTCACCTTAAGGGACCTATCAGTGACATATTTTATGGATATTTCATATTATATTGAGTGCATAACAATCATAGTAGAGAACAACTGATGAATTGTACAATGAACATGATAACTGCAGTTTGTGTAAAACAAGTGATTTGGAAGAATTTTGAGCAGATTATTTCCTGGAAATGTTCAAAGATTCAGATTCAGAGATAAGTTTATCTGATATTTTAGGTACTTTTTATACAGTTCTCTCTCTGTTATGTATTTTTTAAATATGTTTTACCAATGTAAGTGCTCTCCTTTGTGAGTTTTGAGAAGGAGGTAAAAACCTGAATAGAATAATATAATAATATATTATTATGACTTTTCTTAATTTTGATATCTATCGACCATCAGCATCAGCCATTGAAAAACCCATATTGGTTGACCTCTATCTTAAATAATTGTCTAAACTTTAAAAATAAATATTTAATTTAGTTTTTTTTCACAGAAATCGCCAAAATGCTGTGATGTAGGTCTACTGTGTGTATTTTTTACGTTGTCATACCCCAAGTTTGGGAACTACTGATATATAGTATGTATGCATAATAGGCCTACAATGTAGTTGTTGTAATGTAGAAATAATGTGTTTTTACTACATTATATACCGTACATTATGTATGTAGAATAGGTCTACAGTGTAGTGGTATAGTATGGTAATGTGGAAATAATATGTTTTTCTTACATTATGAACTATTAAACTTAAACTGTAAACCCTGTACAATCTCTTTTGACCATAATAACGATGATTATGCCAATAAAGCATATCTTCATTTTGATATATACATTGTATAGGCTAGAGGCTAATAAGACTGTAAACATTTCAACATGCAGGGTCTACACGTTCACTGTGTCACTCACCTGACATCTGGAGGTCATCACAAGCTCATTAATAAGCTCAACATCAGCAGAATGTGGCCGTTTGTGACTGTCCCGACCAACCGTTTAAAGGAAGGTGCTATATACGTTAGGAAGCTAAGTAAGCTCCTGCAGGTACTTCCTCACCCCAGCAGTCCTCCAGCTGTCACACTGCTACTCCAAAAACATGGTTAAATACAGGCTTATCTTCTTTCCAGGGTTTTCCTGGTGTGTTTCTCTCTCTCCTCCTTCTCTCCCTCACTCTGTCCCGCTCAGAGAGGAGCAGCAGCTTCATATACTAACGTTACCCCGAGAAAAGCCGGTTATAGTTTGGGCGGAGATTAGCCGAACTATTACGACCTAGCAGACTGTGTGTGTAGGCTGAGCTGACTGACACTTTATAGGACATAGAAATATATGTTGGTAGCCCATACAAACTCAACTCAAGACTTTTTATAGGCTATATATAGGCCTACATGTTGATGTGTAGGCTATAGGAGACCTCAGTCACTCACTTACTGTAGCCTACATTCAGCGTTCACCAAAATAAAAGAAAACGGGTAACCGTTGGCACCAGTGAGTTAAGAATAAGCGTTTATTCCCGGTATTTAAGTACTTCCGTAAATTCAGGAAGAAAAGAAACGGTCTGTAATATATTTTGGATGTCAAGAAACAAGAGAAGCGCTCCTAAAATGTTTTATTGAAATGAGATAACTTCTGTTATGAATTGGCGCTATACAAATAAAATTGAATTGAAAATAAAATTGAAAAATTGATCGATTGATTTTGTTTTTAATGTCTTCCGAATTGTGTTTTTTCCCAATTAGTTGTCGAAAAAATATCCCGTTCAATAAATATGTTCTACTATACTTTAAGGACAACTAAATCAAGTTTAAATGCTAGTGTTTTTAAAGGGGTTTGGCGCGATGGATTTTCACTACATAAAAATGAACGCCAGATGTCGGCATTGGGTACTTTTCTTTCTTATGGCCCAACCATTGACAGTATAGGGCCCAGTATTTAATCAGAGGCAAAGAGACACTGACAGCAGTGATGGGGATACTGGTTTACTGTGGCTCAGTAAAAAGATTATTTGAATATGAGTTGTCTTTTTCGGCTCCAGAACCGCTCATTTAGAACCACTTTTGGCTTTTATAATTCGGCCAAATTTTGTAATGTTTTGACCTGTAATTGGTAAGTGTACACATATAGGCCTATGATTTCAATTGTTTAATGTATTATACTAAGCCTTATAATTTCAAGCTTTAAAGCTGCAGTAGGTAACTTTATTTAAACAAAAAACCTTTTGTCATATTTGCTGAAACTTTCACTATATCCTGACAGTAGTTCATGAAACAGATAATCTGTGAAAAAATCAGGTTCCTCTGGTTCCACCCATTGTTCCTAACGGCATTTGCAAGAATCCACTGTGCCTGAACAAAATAAAACCGATTAGATAATAGATAATAAACTGTGCAAAACAATGCTTATTTCCTTATTTATTTATTTATTTTTTGTAAAAGTTAAACTGATATAATTGTTACTCATGGACATATAAAATACGGACGCCACATCGCCACTTCCACCAACTGTACAAAAATGAAGCCAAAATATCCCAGATGAGGCTTTTGAGATCTTTTGCCACTCTGAGCCGTAGTCTGCGCAGTAGTGACTGGGGTTGGCGCCGCGGTATCAAAGTCCTGCCCACACCCAGCCAACTCAATCAAGGGTTCAGCTGTCAATCATGAGGTGAACCCCTTTTTTTTTTTATCTTCAAATAACTAATTAAAACCAAACTGAACAGAAAAATTAACACTTGAACATGCATTATTGTGATAAGAACTAGGCCTACCTAAAGTTACAGAAACCATCTTTTGGAAAAATGTATCTGACATTTATCTGGTCATAATGTTCTGCTTTTAATATCTTTTTTTATTATTTATTTCATTAATTTAACCTTTTAATTAGATCTTTAAAATGTTATTTAGTTTATTTTTTAAATCTTAAAATTTTCACTTTTTAAATTAGGCTATATATTTTTTTATTTGTTTCTTCTATGAATTAGTTTAATGTGAGACGGCCACTGTCATGAAAAGTGACATTATGAAGTTTAACTGTGAAAAGTGCAATTGAAATAGGAATGTCTATATAATGAAGTAAAGAATGACTTTCAATAAAACTCTTATTTGTTATTATGAAAAGCTCCACAAGAGGGCGGTCTGTGATAAAAAAAAAAGTGTTGCTGCAAAAAGCCATTACTGGTAGGTAGAGGTAAAAGAAAATAACAAAACAATCAAACACTTTGGGGCTGGTGAAGCACATTTTTATTCAAGATGTAATTTACTGAACCTACTCAGTAAATTGTTTGATAATTGTTCAAAGTGAAGTTGACAGACACATAATAATGAATAGATGAATGTAGAGATCTCTAAAGCCCAGTTCCAAGTTTTCCACATTAGTCATTGATAAGGTGTCCAGCTAACAATCAGGTCAGTATGAGTCACAGTGGAAAGAAAACCTGTCCTCATCACTAGGATCAGACTGTTAACACGGCCATCAGCAACCCCCCGCCCCCAAAGACTCTGTTCTGGTCTGCTAGTTTCCAAAGTATTTAAAAAGCATGGTGTGAAAAATGGTCAGTTTGAGTTGCCTCAGCAGCTGTCAGGTTGGATCAAACGGCAACATTCAAGTACTACAAGATTTTTATTATTAACATCATACTTTATGGAGCTATTATTGTAGCAAAACTGTTTACAAATATGTGTAGTTGTGTAACTGTATCTCAATCTGTGTATGCATAATCAGATCTGTGAATGTGTAAAATAATCTCTAAATGTGTGTTTAGAATCCTTGTGTGCGTAATCAGCTTTGTAAATGTGTAACAAATCTGTATTCAGATTTGCAAGTGTAAGGATATTTGTTCTTGTGTGGACAAATCTGTAAGTGTGTGGACAAATCTGTAAGCACAGTTACTTATTAATGGTTGAAAAGTCTAAGTACTTGATCAAAGAGCTGGAAATACAGACAAATCCTCGGTTACAATTCACGCAGGTCTCTCAATTGGCTGTGTGTTTACACATGACTTTTGCTACACTTCTACTATGGCAGATCTGTAAATGCGTGTGGAGAGATTTGTCTGTCTGCCTCAGTAGCCATGTCCACTTCTGTCTGACGAAAGCCCTGAGGTCATAAGTAACATACAGTAGTTTGGAAAATTGAAGCGGAGAGGAGTGAGAGGAAGGTCGGGCATCAGCGCCCACCTCTGAAGGCCTCAGTGGGGCTTATGGTGCGGTCAGCCCCCAGAGGGCCAGGAGCCAAACCCCGCAAGTAAACCATCTCGGCCTACCTGTCGTTAGACTGGTCTCCATCGGTCCCGGGTTGGCTGCATTCACACTGAGCTCAGCTAGCATTTTTTAACCTAATTCTAGACTCATTAGTTGTTTGATAAACAGTAAATTAAGTAATTTGTTCCCCATATGCTATTTTCCTATAGAAAGGTAGGTCAAACAATAAAGACAGTGCAGCAAAGTCTCTCTACCGACAATAAGCTCAACAAAATAGACAAACTAATATGTACATATACAGAGTGCAAAAGATGCTGGAATGAATATTTTTTGTGCAGGTACTATTATGTACATGAGGTAGGTGGATATGACAGTAGATACAGTATATACAATAGGCACAGCATGCAGAGATTGTTGCATAGATGTCTTTAGTAATGATACTTTGTGTTATAAACAGAAAACTGAATTTCAGCAATGAGAATAAATATATCGATCAGCCATTCCATTATAACTACAGACAGGTGAACACTGATTATCTGGTTATAATGGCACCTGTCAGTGGGTGGGATATTAGACAGCAAGTAAATATTTTGTCCTTAAAGTTGATGTGTTATTCTTAGTCAGCTAGCATTTTCCAACCTAATCCTAGACTCTTTTGTGGTTTGATAAACATTATGTTTGTGTTCCCCATATGCTATGTAGGTCAAACAACGAAGACAGCGCAGCAATGTCTCTCTACCACCGACTGGTGGTCTATAGACCGTACAGCTGCACACAGACAAATCTCTCCTCACGCACAGATCTCCTCATTTGCAGATCTGCCACGGCAGAAATGTAGCAAAAGTCACGTGTAAAAAGACAATTGAGAGTCACGCCTGATGTGTAACCAATGATTTGTCTGTTATTTCCAGCTCTTCGAGTAAATACTTAGACTTTTGTCAGATTTGTCTACACATTTACAGATTTGTCCACACGTGTTAGAATATCCTTACACTTGCAAATCTGAATACAGATTTGTAGATTTTTTACACATTTACAAATCTGATTACGCACACACAGATTCTAAACTCACATTTGCAGATTACTGTACACATTCACCAATCTCAGTACTTATTTACAGATTATTTTTCACATTCACAGATCTGATTACGCACACACAGATTGAGATACAGTTACACAACTCTCCACACATATTTGTATACTTGCCAAAATACAAACAGCAGTTTCTATACATTTACATATGATCATTTTATTTAGGTACTGACCACTGCAGACCGTGAACACCCGGCAAGAGCTGCAGTTTTGGAGATGCTCTGGCCCAGTCGTCTAGCCATCACAATTTAGCCCTTGTCAGAGTTGCTCAAATCCTCATGTTGACCATTTTTCCTGCTTATAACACATCAACTTTAAGTTGAAATGTCTATTTTGTTGAGCTTATTGTCCTGTTTACTTATGCTTATTCTGGGTATTTACATTGAGGGCAATGTGAATCAAATTCTGTGTATGTTTACACATACCTGGCCAATAAAAATAATTAATATTTTTGCATTCATGTTGCATGCTGGAGGGAGGTGGATGGAGGGCTGGAAATAGCTGGCGGTTTGACACCCCTGGGTTGGCTGTTGCCTTCAGGTGGAAAGCTTCATCTGTGTATTACCGGAGTTTAATAAATCTCCATGATCTTCGTAATCAAACTGGACAGAAAAGTGTGACAGTTACTTTGTCATAACCCACAGTGACGTCTCCTTCTTGCTGCCTGTCAGATGAATTTACACAACAGTAGTTAATGGGTGAATCACACATTTCCTGCATGAATCACTTCTTCTTTCTCAGCGATCTATGTTAATTTGAAAATTAGTTGAAAGTAACAGATGGAATTAGTTTTTATCCATCCATTTTCTATACTTATGTCCTGTTCAAGGTTGCATGGGGACTGGAGCCTATCCCAGCTTTGGGTGAAAAATTGGGTTTAAAGTTGAAAAACAGAAAAAAATAGTATGTAGCCCTTTAAAGCTACAGAAGGTAACTTTTATAAAAAATAAAATTTTTGCATATTTGCTGACACTTTCACTATATCCTAACAGTAGTACATCAGAAATCAGGTTCCTTTGGCTCCTCCTAGTGCTGCTAATGGTATTGCGAGAATCCACCGGGGCTAAATAAAAACAGTCAATCAGAGCCAAATTAAAGTTTGTAAGATATCAAATGAGTTTTTCTGTGAGCGTAATGATTGAATGATTAATTATTTCCTTAGAAGGTGACTCTCAGTGTCTCAGATAACATAAAATGTAATTCTAACTGATAATTTACTATATGGCTGCACATAACATAATGTTGCTAAAGCAAGATCAAACCAGCCTGATATGGAATTTTGTCTACTGACTTCACAGTTTAAAATAAATAAATGTGATTAGCCACCCCAACTGCCATTCCATTATCCTTACCTCTTCCACTCACATTCTTTTGTCTTTCAGCAGCTGTAGTGGGCTCCTTTTTAAAGCTAGAGTGAAGATACTGATATCATATGAAATTAGATGGGAACTTAACAGTGGAGTGAGGAATGGAGTAAATGAACCTGTTGCAAGCTCCCATGAACTTTTAAATTATTAACTTGTAATAACCCAAACTTAAGTCCGTCTTTTTAAAGGCAAATGTCGTCTTCAACTAGCACCATGACCTTCAAAATCAAGCTGACTAACAAAGAAGAATCCACGAAGACAAGCTGGCCATTGAAGTTAACCAGATCAGCATGTCTGTTCTTACTAACATGCTAAAGGAGCACCACAAGTTTATATCATCAGCCCTTTGCACTGAATTCAAGTCAGTGTTTGCGTTTCTCAAAACCGAATCAGATGTAGTACAATTCAATTCAATTCAATTGTGGTTCCTTTAGTCTCTAAAAGTAGAACAGGAGCCAGAGCCTTCAGCTACCAAGCTCCTCCTGTGGAACCAGCTTCCAGTTTTGGTTCGGGAGACAGACACCCTCTCCACATTTAAGAGTAGGCTTGAGACGTTCCTCTTTGATAAAGCTTATAGTTAGGGCTGGATCAGGTGAGTCCTGAACCATCCCTTAGCTATGCTGCTATAGGCCTAGACTATCGGGGGATTTCCCATAATGCACTGAGCTCCTCTCTTCCTCTCTCTCTCTTTCTACACACATTCATGTCCCATTAATGCATGTTACTAACTTCACTTCTTCCCCAGAGTTCTTGTGCTTTCTCGTCTCACAGTTTTCTTATGGATCCTGGTGGAGCCTCCTGCCATGGTCCTGCTTGATTCCCATAATATCACTGATATTTATTAGCCAGTGTCAAACACTGTGAGGTCCCTCTTGTAATCCTAGGAATTATTATTATTATTTATTCTGGAAGTGACTGCATATTTGGTGGCTGCAACATGCTCAAATGATCATGGAAATTTGCACAAAATTCAATCATTCGCCCACCCCAAGTATGCAATTGTCCCCATGTATGGGTGCCACCAAATGGCGGAGCCCCGCCCCCCCCGCCCGAATCAGACCCCAAGACCTCTTAGGCCGACATGTACGAAAACCGGTATGCATGTGTATCGTGATAAAAGAAGCAGAAAAGCCACTTGGACCCATACCTCAAACCCAACAGGAAGTCGGCCATTTTGGATTTTGTGGTCATTTCCTTTACATTGCATGCAGGAAATTTATCAGATGGACTCCACACTTGAACACAGCCATCTAAAGACATTCATGATTAAAAGTTGCCCAATTTACGCCATTCCGTCGAACAGTGTGGACGTGGCGTGGCGTCCCGTGGCATCCAATTTCGATCCTTCGATTGATAAGAGTCCCGCCCGAACACGTCTATGTGATAATATTCAGTAATAGTGAGAGTGCCACCTATTGGCAACAGGAAGTATAACGTTTTATACTTTCATGTTCTGCTCTTAGCATGATGATCAGATCCACCTGAAATTTACTTATGATATGTGATGAATGTGGTGAGTGGGCGTGTCTGTGGTGTGGCGTCAAATTTTGATGTACCGCCAGAACACACAGGTTTGCTATGACTTGAGTGTACATTGTCCATTCGGCTCCAAACTTCACTTGTCTGATGAGAGTCCCACCCTGAACTCATCTATGTGATAATATTCACTAATAGTGAGAGCGCCAGCTAGTGGTGGAATTTATTACACTTTAATGTGTTTCTCCCAGCAGAATGAACACATCTAGCTGAAATTTGGTCAGAAGACCCTTAGAATGTTGACAATGACATTTTACAAATTTTATGAATTTTTATTGAACTGTGTTGCCATAGCGACACACTGAGCATCACCTTGTTGTTTTAACATTTGATCGCATTTTGTGCGGACTAAACAGGCTCAACACCTCCTGAAACTTGGCACACACGTCCCATATGGCAGCATTTTACATTTCAAATGGAAGTTGCCTGTGGGTGTGTCAAAATGGCTCGATAGCGCCCCCTACAAACTTTCAAAAAACCAGCCTTGGTGTCCTGTTTAGGGGACATGAATGAAAATTGACAGGCATATAATGCATTGGACAGTACAATCAAAAAATGTTGCTGATTAAAAGTTGTGCTATTTGTGACTGTACGTTGAAGGGCGTGTTCGTGGCTTTCCGTTAAAGTTGGCCATTTTGAATTCTGTGGTCTCCTAGGGAATTTATCGGATTGACTTTGAATTCGATCACTGCAATCTAGACACGTTGGTGATCAAAAGTTAATCAAATATTTACTGTGCGTCGAACGGTGTGTCCGTGACGTGGCGCTGAATTTCTATGTTTCGCAGTGAAGAGTCTCACTATGAAAGTCCCCCCGTAGGTTGATGGCGAGGTCCCGTCCAATGCTGCTTGCAGCTTTGTTATTATTATTATTACTATTATTATTACTACAGTTGCTATTATTACTATAATCACTGCTCATTGTCCCCCATCGTTGTTGTTGTTACCGTCATCATCTTCTTCATGTTTATCATCATCATCACCATCAGTCACTACTATTAGTGTAGTATTAGTGTTGTTGCTGTGCACCTTTGTCTCTGTCTCTGTCCTTCTGTCGTTACCTCTGTTCCCTCTCTCTGTCTCTCTGTCTCTCACTCTCTCTTTCTCTCTGTCTCTCTCTCTCTCTCTCTCTCTCTCTCTCTCTCTCTCTCACCCCAACTGGTCAAGGCAGATGGCCACCCACCTAGAGCCGGGGTAAAAACGTCCTCTTCAATGGAAGTTTTTCCTTGCTGCCTTCGCCAAGGGCTTGCACATGGTGGGAACTGTTGGGTCTCTGTAAATAATTTTATAAGGAGTACGGTCTAGACCTGCTTTATTTATTTAAGTGTCCTGAGATAACTTCTGTTATGAATTGGCGTTATACAAATGAAATAGAATTGAATTGAATTGAATTCCTTTGACGCCAATTAGATGCTCAAGTCTCTGTGATAGGGTATGATGGTCAATGGTGTCAAATGCAGCACTAAGATCTAACAAAACAAGTACAGAGACAAGTCCATTGTTGGAAGCAATTAAAAGATTGTTATTAACTTAACTAGAGCTGTCTCTGTGCTGTGATGAACTATAAATGCTGACTGAAAATCCTCCAATAAGCTGTTGTGTCACACAATTGTTTGGCGACTACTTTCTGCTAAATTTTAGAGAGGAAGGGAAGGTTAGAAATAGGTCTATAGTTGGCTAAAACCCCTGGGTCAAGAGTGGGCTTTTTAAGAAGGGGTTTAATTACAGGCCACAGTGACTGACTATGGCAAGCAAATTGCAAGTTTGGAGACCAACGCCAACTTAGCCGAGGAGCGCTTCCAGGCCCTCAAGACATTGCGCTCTAAATAATGCAAGAGGTCTTGGCTGCATACCTCCACTGTGAGGTTGCTACCGCCGAAGGCTCCACTCTCAAGCCACCTCAACTGTCAGGACAGGAAATGCACGGGATACATTTCAAAATAAAATCGCGAATGCACATCCGGTTGAATCGCTTTCCTCACAAATGCATTAATTAGTAAACAATATTACGTAAAATCTATCAATTCCTTGTCTATAGTATATATCGTTTTTATTTATATAGTAAACTTTTGTTTTGTCATTTTTGTTCTGTGTTTTCCTTTTATGTTGCACATAAGCCCCAACGTGGGCATTTTGATTTATTCTGTACAAATCTAGGACCAAAAGCCATCCATAACCTGTATTAATTCAAAGAAAAAAATAAAGCTTTTGATTTGGACAATTGAAGCATTAGCCTTTGTCTTTTTCAAAACACTTCTCTTTAATGATTGCCATATATGTAGACTAATATACACTGCGCTGCATAACTTTACAACTTAGTCATTATGAAAAACAAACGGTGGGTGATATGACTCGGGGCTCAATTGTCTTTGTAGCCTACTATAAAGCTGAGGATCTTGAAAAGAGAAGGTCAAATAGTTGATCAATGAAAACAATGCAGGGCAGGAATAACATTGGTCAGTGCACAAATTTTCTTTTAAGTTATTACTCATATTCATAAGCCAACATCTCATAAGATGTCAAAGGCCTATACATTTTATTGTGTACTATACAGTATATACAATACTTCGCTGCCTTTTCATTATCATTTAACTTTGACTTTATTGCACTGCTCTTTTTCTATATATTTTTTCAATTTGTTTTTCTGTTGTATTATTCTGTATTTTTATTCTTAACCACCATACATTTCATTTTTGGTTCTATATCTATGCTAATTATGTTCTTGTGCTGCTGGAACACCTAAGTACCAATAGATACAACCCTAACTCTTGATATCTACAGTATAATCCCAGTGAATTATTAAGTGATCAATGGGAAAAACATAAAAAACACACCAAGTCACAACATGATCAAATGTTCTGTAGCCCTTTATTCTCAAACACAAACTCACTCATCTGTGTGACATTCACAATAGGCCAAATTATTTTCTTTTGTCCATTATTTCCTCACAGAATTTCCACGTCCTCAGTGTGTAAAATGTGAATTTGAAGGGCTCCAGGACTGATTCCTTTTCATGGTCATCTACTTGATCTTTCCACACCCTCCCATACTGCAGAGCAGCCTCAGCCTGGTTCTCCTCCCCGATGTACAGAATATCAGGCAGGTCCACTTTGGCAGAGAACAGTTGTTTTTTGGCCTCAACCCACTCTGCTACATGTCTGCAATCGCAAAGAACGCGATCTTCAACCGAGTCCTATGGAAAAGACAGAAAGATGTCTGTACCATAGCTGCTGCACCAACAGTATCTGACCAATAGATACTGTGAAAAAGCTTACCCCTTCCACTGGTGTGTCCACGTCGGCAGGTCTGACTGAGACCTCAGCCTACTGCTCTTCTTCCTGAAAATATATAGATAAGCAAAATGATTAGTTGTATTATTCATATTCCATGTCTCTCCTTCTAATAACGGTTTTCTCACAAATAGGACAATGATAATGTCCCCCATTCCTGCAGTTCAACTTGCAGCGGTAGATCTTATTAACTAAGAGTAAGTCCATGTTTATATTAGACAATGACAAACAAGTCACATGAACACACACATGTGCACATGTGTATCTTTAATCTAAAATGCAATGGTATTACCTTCAAATGCAATGGCATTTTTCATGTGGACCTCCAAATGCCGCTGAAGTCTGGCTGGTTGGCTTGGTTTAAACATGCCTTTGGGACAAAGGGGGCAGTGGAACTGACTGCAGCATGTTGTGCAGCGTTCCACTGCAGGCTTTCCACCACATGGAATGATTGAATGATGCATCTAAAATGGATATAAAATGCATCATGTTTGAATTATAGTACATGAACTTCAATTCAAATTAATGTATACAGCATGCAAACTTAGATTGTCTTTGCTTACAGGTAAAATGACCACTTGCACCAGGTAGTGTAAATGAAGCCTTACTTATGTAGAAGAAGTAATAATGACTACGAAAATACTGCACTACAGGTTAAAGTCCGGCATTCAAAAACATACTTAAGTGAAAGTGGCTAAAACAAGACACTGAAGTAATTTAGTATGTTATGTTAGAAGCAAAATATACTCAAGTATCAAAAATAAAAGTACTGATGGTGCAGAAGCATGCTATTTCTCAGTAATTTCAGTTACTATTCGTTTTGTTTATATACTGTAGTATCCAACAGAGGTGGAAAAAAAAAATGTGCCATGTAGTCCTGCCACATTTTGATTCCACTTGTGCACTTAAACAGGTGATATCACTAATTAGCTAGTCGACCTCTGGGAAAACATCATAGTGTGTTGCATCGTGTTGGTAGCTTGGCTGTCTCACATATCCCGTTTGTTAGTTCAGAAAGACACGTTCTCAACTTTGCGACGATGCCCAGCTAATGCAAGGAGAGTTTACAAAAATGTTTTATAATGTTACATACAAACAAATGTGAACAGTTACTTTACGTTATGCACTAAAAGGTTAATAATCCCTGAGAACTTAAGGTGTCGATGCTAACCGCCATTGGTGAAAGTTAACTTTGACGTTATCTAACTTAGCTTCAAAACGACAACCCAAACAAACATGTAACATTCGGTAATTTGCATCATTAATGACTTCTATAACGTTACTATTTTACGGCACCTATATTGACGAAGAACACAAGAAACCATGCATTTACTTTCTGTGGATAAGCAAAATCAGCAACTCACCGCTACTCGGGACATATGCTGACTCGCTGGTCTCCCTCGAATTAAAAGGCAGGTGAAATCGACATTTACATGTCCTCACTCCCCCCCAAAAAAAAAAAAAAGGCCGCGCTTCCTGACAGTGGAGGTGTTCTGACAGTGGAGCCTGCACCGGAAGCAACCTAACAGTGGAGGCCTGCAGCAAGGTGCATCTCAAATAACGATGGAACAATGGAAAAACTGACATGACCATTTTCAAGGGATCTTGACTTCTGACCTCAAGATATCTGAATGAAAATGAATTCTATGGGGACTCACAAGTCTGCCCTTTGAAGAGAAGCTACACATGCTAACCCTATGCAATTTGGGGGGAAACCATGCATGTGGTATATATGTCATTTTTGCCTAGTGTATTTGAATATTTCAGCAAACTGGCATAAACAGTGTTGGAATTGCATAAATTAGGAATGACTGGAAAACACATACTTTCATGCCACACATGCTGGATAAGTCAGTGCCACTCTTGAGCCACCCAAGTCAAAAAGTCTGGAAACGCCCCTGCACTCAACATGTCGTATCAGATAAAGTGATGACTGTAGCTGGTGTCACAGTGACTTTGCTGCATGAAATCATTTGAAAACAGCAGTACAAATACAAGTAGAACACTGACCTGTCAGTATCTACTATACCTGCTGTAAGGGAGTGTGTTTGAAAAAAAAAAACTGAGTTCATCATACGAAAAAAAGAGTTTATTTATCTTTGTTAGCAACTCACATGCAGTTAACTGGTTTCCTTCAGTGTCTTAACACAGTGAATAATGGACTGCAGAATTCTTTAAACAGTTGACAAATAGCTTATTTGTCACTTCAAACAGAGAAATACATATAGAGAGAGAGATACACACTGTCATCAATGCAAAATCATACATATCCAATCTCTTTGCTTGTGTCTTCAGCTGGAGATAAACCTACAGTATAATCCAACACGTGTCCCAGGAAACGTTCAGACTACCCTGATAATGAAATGACACAAACACAGAAAAGGAAGAGGAAAATAACTGCTCATGTAGCAACACTGGATGGTATTTATGCATATTTATCTCATGTTAGTGTTCAGTAGGTCTAGGTAGTGCACAGGAAAGGTCAGTGTGCCACTAAAGAAACATTTTTGTAAGTACTATTTAGATAACAGTTTCATGTCTTGTGTAAAAAGCTGGGGTCAGGACCTGGTTAGCCTAGCTTAGCATGAAAACAAGAAGGGGGAACCACAAGCCTGGCTCTGTCCAAAGTTTAAATATTTATATTACACCTAAAGTTCACTGATTAACATGTCCACATAAGGGATTTGTCGTGGTAGCCAATAGATAGATATAGACAGAAAAAATAAACATTTAAAAAATTGCTATTGTATGACAGGCATCTGAAATAGCAAGACCACAACAACAAATCTCTCCCTAGCTGCCCTTTTTTACAGTCATAATACAAACAGCTCTCTACTATATTTCATGGGCACTTTCCATCATTAATACTACTGGTCCTAGTTTTACAGTGTACTGCAGTGTGGTTTGTCCAAGTGGAGTTGCCATACCCAAGCAGAAGTTGTTGCTCAATTGCTGTGGGTAGGTACAATCAATGTCAAACACTGTACTGTGTCTGTCGAGGCAGACGACCACCCACCTATAGCTAAAGGATCTGTCCTAGGTTTCTGCCTCTTAACAGGCACTTTTTCCTTGCCCCTGTCACCAAGTGCTTGCTCATGGTAGTACTGTTGGGTCTCTGTAAATGTTATAAGGAGTTCGGTCTAGACCTGCTCCATTTGAAGAGTGTCCTGAGATAACTTCTGTTATGAATTGGCGCTATACAAATAAAATTGAATTGAATTGAATTGAATTGAATTGTACTGTCTGTTTCATTACTGTCAAATCTATTACAAAGTGGAAAACTATTACCGGTATAAAAATGAGAAATATTACACCCTAACAGGGATGTTTTGTTGGGGGAAACAAGTAGCAAACTATACACACACATTCTTTACTTGTTTACTTGGCACTAATTTGTTGCCATTTTAGAAAGATGTGGAGAGAGTCCTAAAGTAGTCTTGACTTAAAGGGACGCTGTGTAGGAATTTCTACCATCTAGCGGTGAAATTGTATTTTGCATTCAAACGAATAGTGCTCTCTAGTGCCTCGCGTTTTTCAAATGCGTATTGCAACTACGGTAGCCGTTATGTACCAAGAAGCCTACATGTCGAGGAGAAAGCAGGCAACTTCAGCGTCTCTTTGAAAGTCTTTCTCCTTCATTAGCTCTTTCCACCTGGGAAAAGCTACCCCGATGTTTACCCTCGTTTTTTGAATTCACTGGTCACATTGCCTTTTTAATTCCCTTTTTCGCTTTCTCCTTCTCCTGTGGCTCGGCATAAGTATGATCCTCCATTATTAACTAAAGTGCAGTGCAGACTTTCAAATGTGCCGGGGCAGTGACAAGCACCTCTCACTGATCTCTTTCTCCGTTATAGCTGGTTTCAGTCACGTGACGCTGGCTCCGAACAAAAACGCTTTGTGGATTAGCTGGACAGGTAGGCTAGTGCTTTATGTCCCTCTCGGCGATTATAGTTTTTCAAAATGGCGGAACGACATGGAAGCCTCCATGGACTTGCCCGTCCAATGTATATACACATAAGAAATTCTTCGCTTATGAGGATAAGTCAGATCATTCGCAGAGGTAATTTTACACCAATGAGGACACATTTATGAATGAAGACATTGATTTTAGCTAATAAAATACTTAAACACTACACAATGTCCCTTTAAAAGAACCTTTAGAAATGAGAAAATATGTTATATATAATATATTGCGTGTGATGGCCATGAAGCAGGTGACAAGGACACAAAAGACGAGTGTTGTCTCTGCATGCAATCATATCTCTGATGAAGAGCATTCCACATTTGCAAAAACATGTAGTTTTTATATAATTCATTGCCTGTTATATGGCATATAAAAATCTAGCTCCCCAACTATGAACACCCTCATGCCTCAGTGCTTTATCAAAATCTTCAATCTGCCATCCCCTTACCTCTTCCACTGTTGCACCCCAGACCGCTGGCATTTCCAATTCGATCCATCCTGGCTCCAAAGCAGCCAGAGGCCCGTTTCCTGGCGGTCATCAGCAGGTCCTGCAGGCGGCTCCTCTGACTCGTGGTCCTGCTGCGGTCGTCAGCTGGTGATTGAGATCTTTCTGATATCAAAGGTTCTTGGTCCCCCTCCTGGTCCGGGCTCCATCCTCGGCTGGCCTGGCTATGTTCAGGCTCTTGATTTGTCCCTTCATAATCAGCTTCAGAGTCCTCCTCCTGGGCCGCTTCAGCCAGAGTCTCCTCAAAGCGCTCCAGCAAAGACTGGTGCGGAGAGGTGAAGATCGCACTTTTATCAAAAAATTACTTTTTGTCGTATTTGCTGAAACTTTAAATATATCTCGACAGCAGTACGAGATAATCTGTGAAACAATTACATTCCTTTGCAAGAATCCACCGGGTCTGAACAAAAACAACCAATCAGAGCTAAGAACAGAAAGACACTTTGGGTGGATGGCTTGAAGATACTTGATTGTTGAGTTTCATTCCCAGTGTCGGTATTTGACGTTGATGTTTCAGCAAATATGGCAAAAAGTTATTTTTATATAAGTTACCTACTGTAGCTTTAATGTCATTTTTCATGCAAAAAGATTCCATGCTTTCAGCTCAACAGATATGAAGATTTGCAGCTTTTCCATTTACTTATTGTAATTATTTATTTGTAATCATTTTGATGTTTGGACGGTTGGTTGGATGAAACAAGCACTTTGAAGCAGTAATTTAGGACTCAAATCAATAAATTATAAATATGTAATTTGTTTAATTTGTTGCAGTTTGGGAACACTCAATAATTATCTGGGCTGATAATGTACGATTCTGATAATACAATTTTTGTCAATACATTATCAGTTTATAATAATAAAATTTATTTGGAATTCTCTTAATAAAAAACATGTGATGCACTTTATGTTTCATGGAAGCCTGAATATGTTTTGTGAAGCTTTTTGATTATATTTACTAGAAAAATGTGTTGAATTGAAGAGTCAGAACTGTTGCTTTTTGCTGTTGTTGTTAACAATAATCATGTCAGTTGGATTTGGTTAATCTAACTGGCTTGTTCTAGTGCTCCTAAAGGTATTTAAAATCCACGGGCCTGAATAAAAACAACCAATCAGAGCCAAGTTTCAGCAAAAGTTATTTTTTATAAAAATTACCTACTGCAGCTTTAGCAGTACAATTTAAAATGTTGCTTACTTGGACAAATTAATGAATCTGCCAAACTAGAAAGCAATGAAGTTAATTAAATAAATGTGGTTTTTTTTTAAAGATATACATTTTAGTAATTTTTAAGTGATGCAGATAAACAGCCCCAACAGCCAGTGCAAAAATACTTTCTCACCTTTGACCTTAGAATATCTTAGAATATCTAACTCCCTGTATTTATCTGTGAATGTACCTGACCTTGGTCAGTGGTTCCTTACCTTGAGCTGAGCCAGGTCACTGGTAGAAGAGGGTCTTCCCAGTATGTGGCTGCTAACCAGTGTGTGCTGACACAGCAGGGCCAGCAGGCCCCACAGGACCACAGTCCTCATGTTATCCTTCTGTTGCTACTACTGCTACTACAGCCTGCACTGCATGATTTTATATACATGCCAGCATGCACACACACACATACACACGCACACGCTCACCATGTGACAGTCAGTCAGTGTCAGTGGCTCATCATTTTGTAGATGGCCTCAAGTGCATTCTGACACCTCTGCATGATAAAGCAGCTGGTCAGATGTCCCTTTAAGTGGTGCTTGGTGGTAGGTGATGTGTGTGTGTGTGTGTGTGTGTGTGTGTGTGTGTGTGTGTGTGTGTACACAGTATACGTGTCTGTGTATTGTCACACTAACTAGCCAGCAGTGGCATGACCTCAGGAGCCATCTTGGAGCTCTGAGCTCAGACGTGGTGTTTATTGACAGGAATGCAGCATTCACCATGCAAATACTTAACACTGTCTACACTCCTGAGCCTGAAAAACACCATAGTAGGTTAAAACAGCTGCTCCTGGGTTACAGGGAGGTTACATTGCATAAATTAGAAGAGGAAGGAAGCAATGTCATCAATGTATTGTTTTTATTGTAGATAATATTTATTGTGAAATTTCTTTTCATGTCTGTTTAGTTTTGAGTTAAGTTTTTGTTCATTTTTTATTTAAGTATCCCCATTAAAAGCACGTTTGTGCCTCTAGTCTTCCTGAGGTTTCAGTTTTGTGGGGTTAAGTAGGTTTTAGCAGTTTCAAATATTGCATATAAGTTATGTTTAGTTTTTGGTTAACGGACCAGTGTGTAGGATTTAGTGGCATCTAGCAGTGAAGTTTCAGATTACAACTAACAAAACACCGCTGCCGTCTATATCTGACGACTTAAGAATGAGAACGGGCTCTGTGTAGGAGAAACTACTATTCTATTGTAGAAACATGGTGGTTCAACATGGCGGACTCCATTGAAGGCTGTTTCCAACCAACCCAGTAAAGATGGATTAGAAATAGACAATAACAAATATTAAATCAATACTTGGACATTTTTGAAAATGCACCTATTTATCAGATGGATCTCGGTTTGTACATGTTAACGATGAATCCTCCTCCATGCAATCCTTCTGTGTTTCGACCAATTCTATTCACCTTAAATATGCTTGTCTTAGGCAACATTATTAGGAATTACTCCATTAACTTTCACTGTTATGCAGATGATACCCAGTTATATCTATTGATCAAGCCTGATGAAATCAATCAATTAGCAAAATAACAAGCAATTTTCTCATGTTAAACTCAGACAAAAGTTCTTGTACTTGGCCCCAAACACCTCCGAAACTCATTATCTAAAGATATAGTTGCTCTAGAGGTATTACCTTGGCCTCCAGCACCACTGTCAGGAATATTTATATTATTATTAGGGCCCGAGCACTGACAAGTGCAAGGACCTATTGTAATTGTAAGAATTCTCCGTTATTATCAGGGCCCTATTGTATCTGTAGGAATTATTAGGGCCCGAGCACTGACAAGTGCAAGGAACTATTGTAATTGTAGGAATTCTGAGTTATTATTAGTATTACGCGCCTTTAATGCATTATTGAACACTTTACCATGCTTGACAGCTCACGAAACTTTGCACAAAATTCAAACATGGCTGAACTCGACATATCCATTTGTACCCGTGCACGGGCACCGCCTAATGGCCAAATCAGCCCCCATGACGCATACGACCGACATGTAAAATTTGGTACGCATGTGTATCATGCTCAGACAAGCAAAAAAGCCTCTTGGAGCCATACTCCAAACCCAAAAGGAAGTGGGCCATTTTGGATTTTGTGGTCAAAATTTTTGGCGTTGTATTTTAACAAACATCTCCTAGGTTAGTGATCGGATTGACCTCAAATTTGGTCAGTACGATGTGAACACCATCACGATTAAAATGTGTGCTATTTGTGACTGTGAGTCAAACGACTCGCCATGAAAAAGGACGTTTTCATAACTTCAGTGTACATGGTCTTATCTCAACAAAATATGTTTGATAAGAGTTCCGCCCTGAACACGTCTATGTGATAATATTCAGATATGGTGATAGCGCCACCTACTGGCAACAGGAAATATCATGTTTTATACGTTCATGTTCTACTCCTAGTAAGTTGTTCAGATCCAGTTGAAATAATATTAATGTTGATGATATGTGATAAATGTGGTGAGTTGTCGTTGAAGGGTGTGTCCGCGGCGTGGCGTCAAACGTGGACCCACATGAATTTGCTGTAACTTGAGTTTACATCGTCCATTCGGCACCAAACTTCAAGTGACTGATAAGATTCCCACCCTGAACACATCTATGTGATGATATTCAGTAAAAGTGGGAGCGCCACCTTGTGGTGGAATTTATTACATTTTTATGTATTTCTCCCAGCAGATTGACCATATCCAGCTGAAATTTGGTCAGAAGACCCCTTGACTGTTGACAATGATATCTTATGGATCTTATGAATTTTTATTGAACCATGTTGCCTTAACTGGAGTACAGATTCTCCATTTGCACCCAAACTTCACAAGTTTGTTAAGAGCCCTGGCCTAAACGCATCCAAGTGCCAATATTCATGTTGCGGTCTGCACGTTACACTTGCACGTGATGCGGCTGCAGCACGCCCTGAGTTGCGTGGAGTGCCAGGGCCCGTTCATCGCTGTTTGCAGCTTTAATTATTATTATTATTATTATTATTATTATTATTATATATTTATCTTTGATCAGGATATGTCCTTCAACTTCCACATAAAGCAAACTTCCAGGACTGTCTTTTTTTCTCTTATGGAACTTTGCAAAAATCCGACAGACATGCAGAAAAACTAGCTCATGCATTTGTTACTTCTAGGCTGAATTACTGCAATTCTTTATTACCAGGCTGCCCCAATAAGTCCATTAAAATCTTACAGTTGATTCAGAATGCTGCGGCACGAGTAGGAACTAGGAAAAGAGATCATATTTCTCCTGTATTAACTTCTCTGCATTGGCTCCCTGTCAAATTCAAAATAGAATTTAAAATCCTCCTCCTCACCTACAAAGCTCTTCGTGATGAGGCACCTTCATATCTTAAAGAGCTCATAGTACCCTATTACCCGACTAGAACACTGTGCCCTCTGCATGCAGGGCTACTTGTGGGTCCTATAGTCTCCAAAAGTAGAACGGGAGCCAGAGCCTCAGCTACCAAGCTCCTCTCCTGTGGAGCTTTCAGTTTGTGTTCGGGGAGGCAGACACCCTCTTCATATTTAAGAGTCAGCTTAAGACGTTCCTCTTTGTTAAAATTTATAGTTACGGCTGGCTCAGGTGAGTCCCAAATGATAAATGGACCCATACTTGTATAGCGCCTTTCTAGTCTTCCGACCACTCAAAACACTTTTACAGTACATGCCACATTTGCGTCACACAGCGATAGCAAAGGCCATCGAACAGAAACACATTCATACACATTCACATAGCATCGGGAGCAATTTGGGGTTCAGTATCTTGCTTAAGGATACTTCAACATGTGGCAGGAGGAGCCAGGGATCGAACCAACAACCTTCCGATTAGGGGACGACCCGCTTGTTGTTGTTGCTTTTGCTGTTGCTGTGCACCTTTGTCTCTGTCTCTGTCCTTTTTTTCTCTCTTTACCAAACATCCCCTCTACCACCCCAACTGGCCGAGACAGACAGTCACCGAGATTTCTGCCTCTTAAAAGGAAGTTTTTCCTTGCCGCCGTCGTCAAGTGCTTGCTCATGATGGTAACTGTTGGGTCTCTGTAAATAATGTTATAAAGAGTACGGTGAAGACCTTCTCTATTTGTAAAGAGTCTTGAGATAACTTTTGTTATGAATTGGCGCTATACAAATAAAATTGAATTGAATTGAATTGAATTAAGCCTTGCAGCTATACCATCCACAACATTTACTGAGAGCAGGTGGTTGTTGGCCTTCTATTAGTGTGTTGTCCTTTTTAACCTATGTATTTTACCTTTCTGAAGTGTCTGAGTTTTTTTTTAAAGCGCTCTATAAATAAAATGTATTATTACTATTATTATTATTATTATTATTATTATTATTATTATTATTATTATATACATACACTGCTGCACAGAGCTGCCTGTGTGACTTGGAATGGCAAACAGAAAATCATTTTTTACCATAAAATAAAATAACTGATTTCAAAGTTTCTGGTCATTGTCTTTTCCTTGTCAACTCCTAAATTCTGAATGCATGGGAGTTAGAGCTTTGATCAGGGCCAACAAATCAGGTTCAACCAACCACAAGCCTGAAAAAATTCTGCTATTCATTATAGAAAAAACTGTGAACAAAGGGTTTGAAAATCACCACAATTATCCTCTAATTGTGCCATTGCTTCTGTTCATTTATATTTATATATTCATGATGGAATGTATGTGCCAGTGACTTCTATCATTGTCAGATTCCACTATGTTCAATAAAGCCCCTGCTAGGCACTATAGTGTTTCTACTGCCTGAATCCGAACTGGTGGCAGGGATTAAGAATAACTATTTACAGTGCCTGAATTGGACCAAAAAAGGTACCAACTTAATTCAGCACAACCCTAACTATAATTCTTTTGGTGTTTTTTTATCCTTTTTAACAAGGACATTTCCAGGGCTGTTTTCTTAGCATTGGGTAGCTACATGTTTATACAGAGACGTAGTTACGCAGTTGTTTAGTACATCGCAAGCATTGCTGTACACTAGGTTTTACAAATACAGAAGTCAAAACTTGATAGGGGGGTTTGGGGAATGTATCAAAGTAGTTCGTAGACAATTATTTCACAACTTTATTGTATGTCATGCTCACCAGAGGCGGCAGTATGCAATAAGAAGTAAGGGTACTCATGTGGACAAAACTCAGAAGTGCCAGTACTCAGTACTGGCGAGTACTGGCCCATTCAGGCACTGACTACATTGGTCATATAGAGGTATCAGAGACTGTTTCTAACCACTTAAAAACTACTAATACGTTTATGGAAATTTTTTTTTAACAAAAATAATCAGAATTATCCTTTAATTGTTTAATTTCTTCTGTTATTTAAATATGTTTATGATGGAATGCATATGCCAGCGACTTCTATCGACATCTATTGTTGTATCATTGGAGGTGTTATTTGAAATGTTATTGAAGTCATTCATGTTATAATTTTTTTTATTTTCATTGTGTGTGGTTACTGACTATTTTGCCCTGCATGGTGATGCAACACTTGGTTCAGTGATGTGCAGTTGTAAAAATTTATTGAAACTTACAGTACATAAAGAACAGTCTTACATCGATTTAAAATAAATATACTTGTAAGCCACAAACAATTTTCAATAAATATTAGTAAATAAATAGAATTCAAATAAAAATATCCTTTGGTAGAGATGTTGCGGTTCCAGAACTTAGATGGTAAGAGATCTTCTTTACTTTGGATCTACAAGAGAATGAGATAACAACAACAACAACTCTGTTATTAAGACTATTCATATATTTATTTCATTAATGGTACAAATTTATGTGAAGTAACTTCACGGTACACTATATTTATAGGATACTACAGTCGTATTTTTCTATTTTTCTAAGTTTTTCTATCACACTATACTATAATTTTCTTGTTGACTATTAAAATTATTTTCTGTTATCTCACTGGCCAAAACAAGTTAGACCAGTTCAACCTAGAGCTACTGTAGTGGAGTTACTCATTGTAGTGTAGTTACTGTGACTTACTGTATTTGCCGACAGTGTTACACCCAAGAGAACTCATGGAGCCTATTCTGTCCATTCGTCGACCGAAGCAGCCGGAGGATCTCCTGGATGAGTCATTGCGGACGCTCTTCAGGTTCTTGGCTGAGAGAAACTCCCTGATTGCCACCTCATCCAGTCCAGTTAGGGGCTGCTGTACATCAGCTGCATCCTCTGTTTTTAGGCTGTCCCTCTCTGCAGGGACTCTTTGGTCCACTTCAGTGTGCTCTGAAACTGACTCCTCTAGTCTCTGAAAGATCACCTGCAACATACACATAGACACTAATTAGCACTGGGATGGGATGATAAGAGATGTACCTTTTTGTTTCAATAGACACATCAGTTATGTCATTGTGTTTAAACCACATTAAAATTACTGAATGTTTTTGATAATGAAGTCTCATTATCAAAAACATTCAGTCATTTTAACTTGAAATACTTCATTCAAAATAGGTAAATAGGGTTGAAAAACACTGAAGTTACCCTTTATTATGTTTGTCATTACAGGTTTTATTATCCATTAAGAGCACCAATTGAACTTCAGTAACCATATATGAGATTATAATCCTATTAAATCTCATATGAACCCAGACTCACCTTTAAGATGTCCATGTCAGTGTCAGTCAAGCCGGTGCTGATAGGATATGTGCTGAACAGCTGCAGGTTTAAGATGAGGAGGAAGCCACAGGGAGGAATGGAAGACAGATGCATGTTCCTCTTGGTCCTATCAATGGATGGATTGATGGATGCTCTTTGGCTTCTTTGCCTGGTGGCTGTTTGGATGCTGGAGCCCACAGCAGCACCCTCTGCTCTTTTATACTTAAGCTTGGCACATGTAGGTATGCCAGGAATTGGACTGACATTCCTGACACCTGGGTCTGATAACAGGAGCTGTCTGAAACTGCTCCTTTTAAAGCACTGTCTCTTAGATATGGGGCATTCGTATGACATAGCAGGTTCCATATGCAACTTTGTCTCAGAAACATACTCCAACCCCCTCCTACATGGTACATTGTTGTCACTGAACCATAGGAAGTATACAAGACAATGTGACAGTGTTACTAAATTGAGGGCTGTACATGATTGCTGTAGGGTAGCTGGCTGGTTTGAGAGATCAGCCGTCAATAGGAGGAAACAAATTCAGATGGCCATCCACTCCAACGATTCTCGAGAAAGAATAAGTACTGCTGTCATAAAAATTCCCGGATCAGTGCTTTTGTCTTGCTGGTAGCAAATCTTTGCTGCTTTAATTCAACTCAGTTAATTTTGTCATATCCTTTAATACAGCGGATAATTACCTGCAATACATTTACATCATTGACATCTAAAAGATGGATGCTGTGTCTCCATTCAGCCCTCTTCAGAGTGGGAGTCTGTGCAGTAGTGATTGGGATTGGTGCCGTGGAATTGAGGTCTCGCTCATACACCCAGCTGACTTAATCGTGAAATCCCTTTTTTATATCTTCAAATAACTAATTAAAACCAAATTGATCAGAAGAATGAACACTTTAACATACATCAGCATGGTAAGAACTACCTAAAATGACAGAAACCATCTTTGCGAAAAATGCATTTGACGAGTATACTTTGGCGGGGGCTTTATGACCTATACTGCAGTCAGCCACCAAGGGGCAATCAAGATGTTTTGGCTTCACTTTTAGAGAGCAGTCATCAATTCAATTCAATTCAATTTTATTTGTATAGCGCCAATTCATAACAGAAGTTATCTCAGGACACTTTTCAAATAGAGCAGGTCAAGACCGAACTCCCTATAACATTTACAGAGACCCAACAGTACCACCATGAGCAAGCACTTGGCGATGGGGGCAAGGAAAAACTGCCTTTTAAGAGGCAGAAACCTAGGACCCTTCGGCTCTAGGTGGGTGGTCGTCTGGCTCGACCAGTTGGGGTGAGAGAGAGAGAGAGAGAGAGAGAGAGAGAGAGAGAGAGAGAGAGAAAGGGGTAAAGACAGAAGGACAGAGACAGACAAATGGAAAAAGTGCAGAAAAACTAATCCATGCATTTGTTACTTCTAGGCTGGATTACTGCAATTCCTTATTATCGGGTTGCCCCAATAAATCCATTAAGACGCTCCAATTAATTCAGAACACTGCAGCACGAGTACTGACAGGAACTGGAAAAAGAGATCACATCTCTGCTGTATTAGCTTCTCTGCACTGGCTCCCTGTAAAATTCAGACTAAAATTGAAAATCCTCTTCCTCACCTACAAAGCTCTTCATGGTCAGGCATTTCATATCTTAAAGAGCTCACAGTACCCTAATACCCCACTAGAACACTGTGCTCTCTGAATGCAGGGCTACTTGTGGGTCCTTTAGTCCCCAAAAGTAGAACGAGATCAGCATGCCTGTTCTTACTAACATGCAAGAGGAGCACCACAAGTTTATATCATCAGCCCTTTGCACTGAATTCAAGTCAGTGTTTGCATTTCTCAAAACCGAATCAGATGTAGTACAATTCAATTCAATTCAATTGTGGTTCCTTTAGTCTCTAAAAGTAGAACAGGAGCCAGAGCCTTCAGCTACCAAGCTCCTCTTCTGTGGAACCAGCTTCCAGTTTTGGTTCGGGAGACAGACACCCTCTCCACATTTAAGAGTAGGCTTAAGACATTCCTCTTTGATAAAGCTTATAGTTAGGGCTGGTTCTGGGTGAGTCCTGAACCATCCCTTAGTTATGCTGCTCTAGGCCTAGACTATCTGGGGATTTCCCAGGATGCACTGAGCTCCTCTCTTCCTCTCTCTCTTTCTACACACATTCATGTCCCATTAATGCATGTTACTAACTTCACTTCTTCCCCAGAGCTCTTGTGCTTTCTCGTCTTGCAGGTTCTCATGTATCATGGTGGAGCTTCCTGCCATGGTCCTGCTTGACTCTCATTGCTAATATCACTAATATTATTAGGGCCCAAGCACTGACCGTGCGAAGGCCCTAGTGTAATTAAAGGAATTCTTTTTCTTTTTCCTCCTAAACAAACGCATATTTGGAGGCTTTTCGTGCACAGAAACTCATGAAACGCGGAGCACATGTCAGTCGTGGTGAAAAATTTCATATTTCCTAGGGGTCCACTATGAGCATGGCAAAATGGCCCCTCAGGGGCCCATAAACTGTACCACCCGGGGCCCCTTTCACCGATATGCATAAAAACCGGCACACGCGTAGATCTTATCCAGACGAACATCAACTCCAGTGGGCACCATATCCCAAAACCAACAGGAAGTTGGCCATTTTGGATTTAGCGGCCATTTTTGGCGACACGTATGACCAACATGTATGAAAATTGGCATGCATGTGTATCATGATCGGACAAGCAAAAAAGCCTCTTGGACCCATAACCCAAACCCAACATGAAGTCGGCCATTTTGAATTTTGTTGTCATTTTCAGAGATTTGCACACATTGTATTTGAACAAACTCCTCCTAGGGAATTTATCGGATCATTTTCAAATTTAATCAGCGCATTCTAAAGACATTCATGATTAAAAGTTGTTAAATTTATGACATTCCGTCGAATGCTGGCGGCCTGGCGTCTAATTTCGACGATTCGCCATAAAAAAGGAAGTTATCATAATGTCAGTTCAGTCAAACAACTCTTGCAATGTTTATTAAAGCAGTATAGCATATTTCGATTTTGGCGTCTAGGCTCCGACCTCATCACTCCCCACAGATATGTTTACATGGAGATATTGGCGAGTGATGTGGAAATACCTTAACCCCTAGCCAGAGCCTACAGGTGGATGCTGGGGTGGTGGTGGGGCTTACAGCGCAGCAGGCAGCAATAGCATACAGAGTATCAGTGATGTGATGCAAGGCAACAGCGGCATTGACAAAGCAGAGGGAGAGCTGGGAAATCTTGCACCTTAAATAGACCAGATTAGTTTTTGATTATGTAATAAGGCATGTCATGTGTGTATAGCAGTGCAGCTTGAGTTGACTGCCTGAACTAGCTTGCAGGCTTCACTCCATTGTACATGGTCCAATATCAACGAAACTTCACAAGTTTGATGAGAGTTCCACCCTGAACATGTCTACATGACAATATTTAGATATAGTGATAGCGCCACCTACTGGCAACAGGAAGTAAGCGCTGCATGACGACCAGGGTGGCTTTTTTTTTTGACACATGGGCACAAGCACAAAAAAAAATCCTCTGCACTGCGAAGCAGTTTTCGTGTGGGGAATTGGCAAATTGGGCCCCCTACAGCTGCAAGCGCCTCTGCTTGATGAGAAGGTGCCATGTGAGAAGGGGAAGGAGGAGGGGGGCAGTGGACAGTTAACCTCTGGGTCTCCCTAATGGAACGGACAAGGGGGGGAACGGGGGATCCACTGTAAGTCAGTCACACCTCGACTTTCTTCCAAATAACGCACATTTCATTCATAATATAATAAATACAGGCCTATAGTTCATGCACATTTTTCTTTTTCTGAATTGGGTGAAACAAAATAGGTAATACAAAACGATTTAGAATATTTATTAGGGACCGAGCCAGCGACCGCTATTGTTTTTGCTCGATTTCTTCTTCTTTACCTATTATTATTATTTTTAGCCCCCTTTTACTGCATTTTTGCCATCCTGAACATATACGAAAACTAAATTTTATTTGGCAAAGTTGTCAGGCCTGGTGAAAATGGGGATATTCTACGCATCGCTTTTGGGTTGGCCACTAGGGGGCGCTACTATCATAAAAAATGCGTTTAGGCTAATAACTTCTGCATAGTTTGTCGCACATTCAAAAACCTTGTATCAACGCGTTCGGTGAATAGAGCTGAATCTCCCCATGTAAGCCCCACCCACTTCCGCCTAGAATTTTTTTTTTCTAGAGCCGAAATGTCCATAAACTACTTTTCTAAAAAATAAGCACATTATAAAATTAACACTTCCTGTGGATTTTTCGTCAAAAAAGGAAGTGGACCATTTCTCCACATTGCTATGTCCGTCCGATTGTCACCAAACTTGGGTCCATAGTTACTCATGTCTTTCTTAGGCATCGTGCACAATCTCAGGTCATCGCCACTAGGTGGCGCTCTTTAAAATGAAGAAGTTTATATCTCTGCAACAGCACGTGTGATTAAAATGAAACTTGGTACAATGATTGCCCATGGCTCCCCGAGGCTCACTTAAAAAGGACAAAAAAAATAGGTGGCGCTCTTTTGACCTGATAAATCACTGTGCGGAGACCGTAATAGTTATGAATATGAAATTCACAGGGCATGTTAGAGTGGTGCCTGAAGCTCACATACCAAAAATCGTGTTTGTTGTGTTTGTAGCGCCCCCTACAGGATAAAAAAAACAGCAGCCCTGGCGCCACGTTTCACCGATATGTACAAAACTCGGTAGGCACATGTAACATGCCGAGACGTACAAAAAAGCCTCTTGGACCCATACCCGAAAACCCACAGGAAGTCGGCCATTTTGATTTTGATTTTCACTTTCTGCCAACTTTTCGCGTTGGATTTGATAGGGAATTTATCGGATCTGCTTGAAAATTGGTCAGAAAATGGTACTGATTAAAAGTTGTGCTATTTGTGACTGTACGTTAAAGGGCGTGTCCGTGGCGTTCCCTCAAAGTTGGCCAGGTTGAATCGAATGTCAAACTGTGATGCTATTTCCGGCATTTAAGGGCTTCTGTTTTAACTAACTCCTCCTACAGATTTTATCAGATTGACTTCAAATTCGATCACTTCAATCTACACCCATTGCTTATCAAAAGTTGCGCTATTTTTGACTGTATGTTTAACTGTGTGCCCGTGACGACGTGTCGAATTCCACCGATTGGCCATCAAACAGATAGTACTCATATCTTCAGTGTACAGTCCCACCCTGAACACTTCCTCATAACTTCAGCGTACATGATCCAATCTCAATGAAACTTCACGTGTTTGATAACAGTCCCACCCTGAACATGTCTACATGACAATATTCAGACATAGTGATAGCGCCACATACTGGTAACAGGAAGTATCACGTTTTATACTTCTACTCCTCACAGGATGATCAGATCCAGCTGAAATTTACTTATAAAATTCAAAACAAATTGTTGATGATATGTGTTGACTGTGGTGAGGGGGCGTGTCTGTGGGGTGGCGGGAAATTTTGATGGACCGCCACAAAACACGAACTTGCTATAACTTGAGTATACATTGTCCAATCGGCTCCACACTTCAAATTCTTGACAAAATTCCCGCCCTGAACACATGTACATGACAATATTCAGACATAGTGATAGCACCACCTACTGGCAACAGGAAGTAAGTGCTGTGTGGCGATTTTGAGCTGATTAACAGCAGATTTTCATGTTGTCCCGCCCAACGCTGCTTGCAGCTTTAATATTATATATTATTGTTGCTCTCTGCTCTTGTTACTTTTTTATATATCTGATTGTATATATTTTGGCACATTTATGTATATAGTGTATATTTATGGATGTCCTTGTTGTTCTGATAACTTATACTGTCAGTTTTGTGCAGAACTGTGTTCATTGTCTTCTGGCAATGTTGGAGGTGGAGATTGTGAACCTTAAAAAATGTGTTTCCTGTTCAAAGTGCCATAATTAAATCCAATTGTTCTGCTGAAGGATTTGTGCAATCGAGAAATATAATTCTCTGCTTTACTTATGTTGTTATAGTAAAACAAACAGTTTGTGCAGAATTTTGGGTTCTTTTTTCTTTTTTTTTTTATTGCGGGGGGGGCTTGAAGGGGTGTCATTCAAGATAGAACCGCAACTGTTGATTGGATCAACTTCAGATTTGGACACAGCCATTTAAAGACATTCACAATTAAAAGTTGTGCTATCTACGACATTCCTTCAAAGGGCGTGCCAGTTGCATGGCGTCCAATTTCAAGGACTCGCCATGAAAATGGAAGTTGTCGTAACGTTAGTGTACATGGTACAATTCAATTCAATTCAATTCAATTCAATTTTATTTCTATAGCGCCAATTCAACAATCAACAATCTCAATGAAACTTCATGTTTGATAAGAATCTCGCCCTGAACATGTCTACATTACAATATTCAGATATAGTGATAGCGCCACCTACTGGCAACAGGAAGAAAGTGCTGCATGGTGATTTTGATCTTGCATGACATTTTCATGTTGTGGTCCGCACATGATAAGCTGGTGCATCACATGGCCACAGCACACATTGCACATATTACAAATAATTGTATGGTATTTTTTTAATTATAACATTATGAACTAATAATATTGATCATATTGATTACAACATAATGATTTTTAAAATGTTCTTTACCTCAAATTTTAATATGATTATCCAGATAGTAATTTGTAGATATACATGAGATTACAGGGTGTATGAATAGTTTGTACCCATCATCGTGGCAAGCCAATTAATGCATTTATTCTTTAAGAGAGATATCTGTTCTTGTTTGAATGTTTTAATTAGGTGTATTAAAAGCATTGCTGTTTCTTATTGTGTGTAACATGAAGGGACTGCAAACTTTAATTTCCTCAAATCTGTACTTAAATCCAGTTCTCAAGTAAATGTACTTAGTCACTTTCCACAATGTTTCCACAACTTTTCATATATGATTAAAATATATCCTAGAAGAAGCCAAACTTGTGTCTGTTCCCAACCTAAATAGATCCACAATGAAACGTGCTGATATAAAAATGAAATAATGAAAATTCATTTGAATGAAAATGGTTTCTCATCTAATACACCGGTTTATTTAACGTGAATACAAGATAGACAATGTTCCTTCTGAAAATAAGCAAACTGCTTTACATTGTGCCTAGAAAAGAAATTCAATCAGACTCAGCTATTGTGCAAAAAATATTTTACTACAATACAATCTATTACAAGGCAACTCTACTTCATCCAACAATAGAATAATAAATAATAAATACATTTACAATAATTTATTATTTAACAGAAAAATTGCAGTTCTGCAAGGGAACCATGGAAAGGAGAGCCTGAAGCAACTGCCCTTTTAAGTGTCAGTCAAATATCTGCTGTCAGAGGAGCTCCAGTGTTGGTTATGGTCACACTGATGTGTTGATGGGAAAATAATCCATGCCTGTTGACAGAAAAAAAACACAAAAAACCCATTACAACAGATTCAAAAGCAGTTTGTCACATTTTGATACCCAGGTGCCCTTGGGCAATGAGCCACTACACCTAGAGTTGCTGCAGTGCAGATGTTCAGTGACACCCTAGACCAATGTGGTTCCTAAAGAGAATGTGAAGGAGTAGCTTTCTCTGTACAAATAAACAGGCCACCAAACGGTTTTAATGCAGTTAGGTATGATGAATATATAATAGCATATAGATAAAATGATGAAATACATCACCCCAACCAAAAAAATCATAATCCCCATTTTTATTAAATGCATTCCCCTGTAACTGTAATGGATTCAAGTTACCTTTTCTTGCATCCTGATTATGCAACTCAGTTACATGTAATCCATTAGTCCCCACAGGGGATGTTGATGGATTTTTTATTTAATCTGACTTTTTTGTCTTGTTATATCCCAGTAGTATAGACTATACTGTGTTAGGTATGTGTGTTCTGCATTCTGTTTAATCTGAATGTAGTTCAAGAGGATTTGCATTATAAATTGATGTACAAATATTCGATTAACATTATTATATTGTGCAATAGTGATTATATTTTTTATATATTTTCTCTCACTCATACTGCATTGTCTTTATTTTTATTAACAGCGCATTTCACAGTACCATAACGCCTTTCCTGTACTCATAAACACCTGAGAGTGTAAAAGACACTCTCATCCATTTAACATTATGTCATTTATGCGCACCTTCAGTAGTCTTGCAGTTATCAAAATATATATATATAATATATATATATACCAAAGGGTTTTCGTATCCGTCTCCAGTTCCTTTGTTCCTACCTTCAGCATCCCAGCCCGCTGAAGGAGCCGATCCTCTCTAACCGGACACCGAAGCAGCTCCTCAGCCCACCTTTCTTGTACCGGCTCCACGAGCGCTTGGAGGTTCTCATGAGGTCTTTGAAGAGACGCGCGAGGACGTTTTCTTTGGCCGCCAGTACTGAGTTGCTGTAGTCGGAGGAGTCCCACGGGTGCTCCTCTGGAGCTCCGAGCACCGACTTGTCTGTGTTTCCATCCTTCCCCTCTGCCTCCAGGTCCTCCGAGGAATAATACGGGGCGGTGTTGATCTCATCTTCTAAAAGTTGCTTCAAACTCTGGAAAAATTAAACAGAAAGTGGAAATGGGATTTTTTCGCTCAGGTAGCCAGTGCGGTAATAACACTCTTCATGTGCCACAGATGTTCTGTACAGATGTTTTGTATCACCTATACCACACAGATGTCAATACAGAAACTATGAATGCGTCTTTGTATTCGCTTTGAATAAAATTTGCCTTCTTCTGTCTCTGAACTATTGAATATCCCAGCATACATGACTGACACTAAAGTCAACTTACCTGTAGGTCAGAGAGGGGTTTGGCTTCTACGAAATTAAGCAGTAAAAGCAGAGATAAACAACAAACGGAGATATTTGGGTTCATTTTCTCTTTTGTAATTTTTTATTCTGTTTCTGTGAGGACAAGCTAGTGACTCGGTCCTTCAGGCTCCTCGGTCTCGCGCTCCTCAGTCCAGCTGTCTCGCGGCGGCCAGGTGCCGCCTTTATATGTGTACTGATTCTGTCACGGGGCCTGGGAAAATTAACGAGGTGTGACTAATGCCCCTACACGTGGGAGTACAGGCTAACTTGACTGTTGAAAATGTGGACTGTAAGTGTTCACAGGTTCAGACTCCTCAGAAGCTCTCAGACGACACGACTGAAGACTATGCAGGGGTTTTATTGGTTTTGATTGAAATAACTCATAAACTGTTCAATTTGTTCTCTTCAGTAGGCCTGAAGGGTGACATTTGGGCCCCCTTGGCTGATTTACAAAGCTTTTTCCACACAGGGATTTGCGGTTCATGTAAGTGAGACGCTCACCCATGTTCCTCTTTTTTGTTTGTTCTTTTTTCAATGACTTTAAAACTGCAGTAGGTCATCATTATAAAATAAATTACACATATTTGTTATAACTTTCACATAATCCTGACAGTAGTAAATGAGACGGACAATCTTTGAAAAAATCTGGTTCCTCTGGCTCCCCCTACTTCTCCTAATGGCAAGAATCCATGGGCCTGAATGAAAACAGCCAATCAGAGCAAGATAAAAAGATGCTTTGGGTTGGAGATAGTTGATTGTTAAGTCTCATTCCCAGTCATGAGACAATCAAACATCTACCTTGGCTCTGACTGGTTATTTTTGGTTATGTAAGGTGAATTCTTGCAAATGCCATTATGAGTACTAGGAGGAACTAAAAAAAACAAATTTTTTCACAGATTATCTCATGTACTACTGTCAAGTTCAGCAAATATTTTATAAAATTACATACTGCAGCTTTACTGGATACAAGATTTACTACTGGATGTTGCAATGGAAATTATATATTAATTGTAAAACTCCATGTGGAAATATTGCATTTTTAAACAGATTTTGACTCCTTTTGTAATAGAATTATTCACATTTGCTGGGTCTATAGTTCCCCCTCATTTTTTTTGTGCTATCTTAGCATGTCAACAGTACAAGAAAGTTGGATGATTTTCCTGCTGTGCCACTGAGTGTAAACACACATATCCTAAAGGGGTTGATCTGCATACCTGCTTGTCTGGGAATTTAGTGAAGGTGGTGGAAATTAAGATTAATTAGAAGTTTGCTCCTATCATGCCCCTCTCCACCAGACTGCCCTGCCACCATCCAGACAGGTAAATAATGAGCGATTAGCCCTGGACCCTACAAATCTGAGCACACTGTGTGGAGGTGGATCACAGCTAATTGACATTTCACCAGCTTCTCAACTGGAGAGCTATCATATGAAATTGAGTCAAGCCTCAGGGCAGCAGTGATCACTGCCATGTTTTTTATGGAAAAAATCTGAGCTCTCTTAATTTGATCTGTTGGTCCTGTCACACAGATACAGAAGTGATACTGAGCCAACAATACTATCAGCTCTGTTCTGAGCAAGTAAGCAGAATCTTTTGATCTGCTCTAAATTCAGATTTCAACATCACTGCAGTGGAGTACCTTTGCACACTCTGCCTTTTCATTTACAGCCATTAAACACTGGAATATGCTCCCAGCCAAGCTCAGACTTTCACTGTGTTTTCCATGGTGCAAAAAAAAAAAAGAAAGAAAGACAAAAGGATATTGAGCAATTCATAATAATTAAATGTGGACTATTAAACATCAGGTCTCTGTCTTCTGAAGCTGTTCTAGTTAATTAATTAATATCAGATTATGATATTGATTTACTTTGTGTTACTGAGACCTGTCTGTGCCATGAAGAATATGTTAGCCTAAATGAATCCACTCCCCCCAGTTATATTAATATTCATATTCCTCGAGGCACCAGCTGAGGAGGTGGAGCAGCCTGGAAAACACTGCAGCCATATCTGAATTCTCAGAGTTTTTATCAAGTTTAGTCTTTAAAACAGATAAAGTAATTATTGTTGGATGATTTTAATATTCATGTGGATGTTGATAATGACCATTATTGGATTCTTAGTAATAGACTACAAGCCATTAGGCAAAACTTCCTACAGCAGATGTCTATCTGATAGTGCTGTAGCAAAATTTAAGGAGGAGATTCCATCTGTATTCAATGTCATGTCTCAATATAACTCCTATGATAACCTTAGTCCCTCCCAAATTGATCATCTTGTTAATAGTACTGCAGGCTCACTGTGAAAAATATGATTGATTTTATTGCCCCTCTAAAAAAAAAAGATATTAAAACATAGGAGGCTCGCGCCATGGAATAACCAGAAAAGCTGCCAATTAAAGGGCGGAAATTTTAAAGAAAATGCCATTCTACCAAGCTGGTTCAATCTGGCAATATAGTCTACATACAGAAAGACCCTCCGTAATGCTGGAGCAACCTATTATTCATCATTAATAGAAGAAAACAAGAACAACCCCAGGTTTCTTTTCAGCACTGAATTTTAACAACTGTAAAACCATATATATATATATATATATATAGTGCTTTTCTGCAATCAGTCTTCATCAATGAACTTTCTTTATCAAAACCTCAGACCCCATCCCAACTAGGCTGCTTAAAGAAGTCTTATCTTTAGTTGGCACTTCTTTACTAGACTTGAGCATCTAATTGGCATTAAAGAAACCACACTTAGCTGGTTTAAGTCCTTGTACTTGGTCCCAAACACTACTACTCCATGCATTTGTTACTTCTAGGCTGGATTACTGCAATTCCTTATTATCAGACTGCCTCAATAAGTCCATTAAGACAATACAATTAATTCAGAATGCTGCGGCACAAGTACTGACAGGAACTAGGAAACAAGTTCATATTTCTCCTGTAAAGCTTCTCTGCACTGGCTCAGAATAGAATTTAAAATCCTCCTCTTCACCTACAAACGCTTCATGGTCTTAACCTTCAAATCTTAAAGAGCTCATAGTACCCTATTACCCAACTAGAACACTGTGCTCTGTTAGTGTATGACTACTTGTGGTTCCTATAGTCTCCAAAAGTAAAACAGGATCCAGAGCCTTCAGCTACCAAGCTTTTCTCCTGTAGAACCAGCTTCCAGTTTGGGTTCAGGAGGCAGACACCTTCTCCACATTAAAGAGAGGTATTAAAACGGTCCTCTTTGATTAAGCTTATAGTTAGGGCTGGCTCAGGTGAGTCCTGAACCTTAGTTATGGTAAATGGACTGTACTTATATAGCGCCTTTCTAGTCCTTCGACCACTCAATGCGCTGTCCACTACATGCTACACTCACCCCATTTACACACATTCATGCACCGATGGCAGTGGCTGCAATGCAAGGTGCCAACTGCTCACCAGAACGGAAACAAATCTAGGGCAACTAGTTGAATAGTCTGCCTGATGTTGACCCTTTATCTGCCTGAGGTTTGTCCAAGTTAGAATCTATGGCCCCAACCATGGCTCTGAAACATCAGTAGCCTAACTGTGTAAAGAGAAACCCATGGCACTGTAAATGGTAAATGGACCTGTACTTGTATAGCACCTTTCTAGTCTTCCGACCACCCAAGGCGCTTTTACACTACGTGCCACATTCACACAGTAATGGCAAAGTCCATCGGACAGAAACTAACATTCATACACATTCACACACCAATGCATGGCATCGGGAGCAATTTGGGGTTCAGTATCTTGCTCAAGGATACTTCGACATGTGGCACCAGGAGCTGGGGATCGAAACCACAACCTTCTGATTGAGGAACGACCCACTCTGCCTCTAAGCCACAGCCGCCCCCACCCTGCCTGAAGTTTTTACATTTGTAATAGTAGTAAAAAGCGCCTTTTTCTCTCAGTCGTGCCCTTCTTTCAGTTTGATCTTGGATACATAATATTCAATTCAATTCAATTAAATTTTATTTGTATAGCGCCAATTCATAACAGAAGTTATCTCAGGACACTTTTCAAATAGAGCAGGTCTAGACCGAACTCTTCAACATTAATTACAGAGACCCAACAGTACCACCATGAGCAAGCACTTGGCGACAAGGGCAAGGAAAAACTGCCTGTTAAAAGGCAGAAACCTAGGACAGATCCTCCGGCTCTAGGTGGGTGGTCGTCTGTCTCGACCAGTTGGGGTGAGAGAGAGAGAGAGAGAGAGAGAGAGAGAGAATTATTCTATGCACAATGTACTATAAATAACTATATTGTAGTCTGTATACTCTATAACAGTGATTCCAAACCTTTTTTCCTTAAGGAACCCCTTTTCTATCAGGTAGGAGCTAGAGGAACCAGATATTTTTCACAGATTATCTGTCTCATGTACTACTGCCAGGATATTGTGAAAGTTTTCGGCAAATATGAGAAAAAGTTATTTTTTATATAAGTTACCTTCTATAGCTTTCTTTCTTCTTTTAATGAGAAAACATAGCAAATAACAGTTCTATGAATTAAGGGTCTTGAAACAGAACAAGACTTTAAAAAAAAACATTAATCATTTAATGATTAATTATTTAGTGGTTAACATCATCGCTTATTTGCCAATAGACCATTACATTTCCTACCATTACATCAGCCAATGATGACTAGGCAGTTATGTAAATTAGTTCTGTATGGGTTAGTATGAGAAAAGGACAAGAGACACTTATGGTAATGTTTGACAGACAGCATCACCTGAGGCAGACACACTATGAAACACTTCTAACATGCTAAGGGCAACACCAAGGATATCAATAACTCTATCATGGTTATTACACATTTTCTGATACTGTCTGAGCCCAGTGTCTCGTGTTTTGTGGTGTGCGCAGGGAATGTGGCACCTGATAAATGATGGGACAGAGAGACAGTCAGTCAGTCGTGGATGCGATCCTGTCAACACGGTTGCAGCACTTCCCCCCCTTAACATATCAGCTTATCAGCAACATACACGGGGTGGCTGTGGCTCAGAGGCAAGAGCGGGTCACTCCTTAATCGTGAAGGTTGTGGGTTCGATCCCCAGGTCCTTGTGCCACATGTCGAAGTATCCTTGAGCAAGATACTGAACCCAAATTGCTCCCGATGTCGTGCATCGGTGTGTGAATG